CCAACCTGGGCGAACTGAGGCGCACCGCCAGCCAGGTGGAAGTTGGTCACAGCGGCGCCCATGATTAGAGCCGGCGCTGGAAGGAAATATGGGGAGGGAGTATGAAAAGGAGGGAGGGGGGAGAGGCCCCAAAGAAGGCCCCAAGATGCCCAAGGAAGCTCCCAGGAGGCCCCCAATGTCTCCCCCCTAACCCCCCCTGTGAGCCGCGCCACACGCTGTACCAAACTGATCGCCCCCTTCTGAGGCCCCAAAAACATTCAAAAACTCGTTGGGAAATCAACAAATTCGGCCTCTTGGGCCTCTAGGGGCTCCAAGAGGGCCTCAAGATGGCCCAAGATGACCCCAAGGCGGCCCAAGACGGCCTCAAGACAGCCCAAAATGGTCCCAAGGGGGCCCATGAGGCCCCCAAGACGGCCCAAGATGGCCCCAAGAGGACCCCAGAGAGCGCCTCCACATGCCAGAACATTATCCCGGCAAAGCAACCTAACAGCGATGTGTAGGAGCATATCTGGAAGCATCCCCCTTAAGATTCAGATGAGAATCCAGTTGTAGAGTTCTGCTGTTCTCGCAGTCGTAGTCGCATTCGCGATGACAGTCGCAGTGGCCTGCATTAGCCTCAGCCTCAGCCTCAGCCTGCCTCAGCATCAGCCTCAGCCTCAGCTTCAGCCTGCCTCAGCCTCAGCCTCAGCCTGCTCCTGCATCAGCCTCAGTCTGCCTGCAGCCTCGGCCTCAGCCTCAGCCTGCCTCAGCCTGAGCCAGCCTCAGCCTCAGCCTCAGCCTCAGCCTGCCTCAGCCTCAGCCTCAGCCTCAGCCTCAGCCTGCCTCAGCCTCAGCCTCAGCTGCTTCAGCCTCAGCCTCAGCCTCAGCTTCAGCCTCAGCCTCAGCCTCAGCCTCAGCCTGCATCAGCCTTCAGCCTCTCAGCCTGCCTCAGCCTCACAGCCTGCCTCAGCCTCAGCCTCAGCCTCAGCCTCAGCCTCAGCCTCAGCCCTCAGCCATCAGCCTGCCTCAGCCTCAGCCTCAGCCTGCCTCAGCCTCAGCCTCAGCCTGCTTCAGCCTCAGCCTCAGTCTGCCTTCAGCCTCGGCCTCAGCCTCAGCCTGCCTCAGCCTCAGCCTGCATCAGCCTCAGCCTCAGCCTCAGCCTGCCTCAGCATCAGCCTGCCTCAGCCTCAGCCTCAGCCTGCCTCAGCCTCAGCCTCAGCCTGCTTCAGCCTCAGCCTCAGTCTGCCTTCAGCCTCGGCCTCAGCCTCAGCCTGCCTCAGCCTCAGCCTGCATCAGCCTCAGCCTCAGCCTCAGCCTGCCTCAGCATCAGCCTGCCTCAGCCTCAGCCTCAGCCTGCCTCAGCCTCAGCCTCAGCAGCTTCAGCCTCAGCCTCAGTCTGCCTTCAGCCTCGGCCTCAGCCTCAGCCTGCCTCAGCCTCAGCCTGCATCAGCCTCAGCCTCAGCCTCAGCCTGCCTCAGCATCAGCCTGCCTCAGCCTCAGCCTCAGCCTGCCTCAGCCTCAGCCTCAGCTTCAGCCTCAGCCTCAGTCTGCCTTCAGCCTCGGCCTCAGCCTCAGGCTGCCTCAGCCTCGGCCTGCATCAGCCTCAGCCTCAGCCTCAGCCTGCCTCAGCATCAGCCTGCCTCAGCCTCAGCCTCAGCCTGCCTCTGCCTCAGCCTCAGCCTCAATCTGCCTTCAGCCTCGGCTTCAGTCTCAGCCTGCCTCTGCCTCAGCCTGCATCAGCCTCAGCCTCAGCCTGCCTCAGCCTCAGCCTGCCTCAGCCTCAGCCTCAGCCTCAGCCTGCCTCAGCCTCAGCCTCATCAGCCTCAGCCTCAGCCTCAGCCTCAGCCTGCCTCAGCCTCAGCCTGCCTCAGCCTCAGCCTGCCTCAGCATCAGCCTGCCTCAGCCTCAGCCTCAGCCTGCCTCAGCCTCAGCCTCAGCCTGCTTCAGCCTCAGCCTCATCTGCCTTCAGCCTCGGCCTCAGCCTCAGCCTGCCTCAGCCTCAGCCTGCATCAGCCTCAGCCTCAGCCTCAGCCTGCCTCAGCCTCAGCCTGCAGCCTCAGCCTCAGCCTGCTTCAGCCTCAGCCTCAGCCTGCATCAGCCTCAGCCTGAGTCTGCCTTCAGCTCGGCCTCAGCCTCAGCCTGCCTCAGCCTCAGCATCAGCCTGCCTCAGCATTCAAAATGTGGCCAGGGAATGGAATTCTGGGAACTCGAAGAACACGAAGTGGCTTACAGTTTGCTCCGGGCATTCAAAATCATACCCAGGAATGGAGTTCTGGGAACTCGAAGACCACGAAGTGGCCTACAGTTGGCTCCGGGCATCCAAAATGTGGCCCGGGAATGGAGTTCTGGGAAATAGAAGAGCACGAAGTGGCCTACAGTTGGCTCCGGGCATCCAAAATGTGGCCCTGGAGTGGAGTTCTGGGAAATCGAAGAGCACGAAGTGGCCTACATTGGCTCCGGGCATCCAAAAGGTGGCCCGGGAGTGGAGTTCTGGGAAATGGAAGAGCACGAAGTGGCCTACAGTTGGCTCCGGGCATCCAAAATGTGGCCCGGGAATGGCGTTCTGGGAGGTCAAGGAGCACCAAGTGTGTGTGACTGTTGCATCCGGTTATTCAGAATGTGGCCTGGGAATGGGGTTCTGAAAGGTCGACGAGCACGAAATGTGACTGTTGGTGAAAAACGAGCCCGGCACAGGCCCGGCCGGCAACTCCCAACGCCTGCCCGGACCCCCCTGTGGAGTGATCTGTGAGCTCTTTTGAGTCAACTAGAAACCTATCAGTCTTCGCTGTTAGGTAATTGATTCCCTACGGTTTTCCAGCGATTTTACGTTCCCGCCTTTCTCGATTCTCAGAAGCCCATGACGGCCCAAGCAGCCTCCGAAGTGGCCCCAAGATGGCCCAAGAAACCCCCTAAGAGGGCACCCGGGCGGCTCAGGAGGGCCCCAAGACGGCCCAAATAAGTCCCCAAGACGGTCCAAGAGGCCCCTTTAACGGCCCAAGAGGACCCCAAGAGAGCCCCACGGCGGCCGCGAGAGGCCCCCAAGACTGCCTCCGAAGGGGCGAAACGGCGCAAAAGCGCCCCAAGACGGCCCACGATGCCCCCAAGAGGCCCCAAGAGGCCCCAAAGACGCCCCCAAGGGGCCCCAAGGAGCCCCCAAGAGGCCTCCAAGAAGTCCCCAAGAAGCCTCCAGAAGGCCCCAAAGAAGCGCCCAAAAGGCCACACAACGACTGGAGTGAAATGTGTGTTTTTAACCCCTGGGCGAACTGCGGCGCAGCGCCAGCCAGATGGAAGTTGGCCACGGCGCCGCCCATGATTAGAACCGGCGCTGGCCCGAAACGTCTCCAGGGGGCCCAAGGAGGCCCCAAAGAAGCCCCAAAGAGGCCCCTCAGACGCCCCCTAAACGTTTCCAATAGGCTCCAGAGAGGCCCCCACGAAGCCTCACAACGACTGGACTGCACGGCTTTCAAGACGACTCCAAGCGAGCCCGAAAATCCTACGAAGACGGCCTCCGACGAGACCAGACGGCGCACGAGCGCCCCAGGACGGCCCACGACGCAACGAAGACGCCGTAAAACAACCGCAAAGATGCCTTCAAGAGGCCCTCAGAAGCCCCGACGAGGCCACTACGAAGCCTCCTAGAGGGCTCCGATAAGCTTCCCGTGCGCCCCGCAACGACCGCACTCAATGCGCGTGCTCCGACGAGCAGGGCAAACCAGCCAACGCCCAACTTGCACGTCTCGTCTTCTCGTGCTCTTTTTCGGGGGCGCGGTCGTCGGGGGCTCGCGCTCATTCCGTCATGTTACAGACATCGGCCCGGCGCCAGGGTCGCATGGAGTGTACTGTCATTTACCCCCCTGGACGAAGTGCGGCGCAGCGCCAGCCAGGTGGAAGTTGGTCACGGCGGCGCCCATGATTAGTGCTGGCGCTGGAAGGGGATACGGGGAGGGAGTATGAAAAGGAGGGAGGGGGAGAGGCCCCAAAGACGTCCCCAAGACGGCCCAAGACGCCCCCACGAAACTCCCGAGAACCCCCAAAACGACTTCACTGTACGTACTCCGGACGTGCACCCCGCGAAGCGAGAGGAATCATTGCAATTCGCCTGGGCCACGCTTCTTCGACACTGAAGAGATAATCAACACAGGTCGTGGTGCGTGTGTAAAACAAAAACCGAAGTAATGGCACTGCGCGCAATGGAAACCAATTCTTGTCCACATGTAGCACGACTGCGCTACACAACGACGGGCGGAATGGGCATGGACAGCCCCAACACGCCGTGGGCCGGCATGGGCGCGTGTGGCGGCGTGAAGAGAAAACCACTCCGAGCCTGTAGCACAATGTGCTCCTGTTGGAGACGCACGCCCGACCCGAACGTGCAGGACACAACCTTGCAGAGCACCGCTTCCCGAGCGACATAGCCAGCAAGGGCCCGCCACGCAGCCCACACTTCAACCACCTCCGAGCCCGCGCGTCGCCCGTGCGTGACCGCCGCGCGTCTGGCAGGAACATGCCTTTGGCTGGTGCCGAGTCGCCGTCGTCGCCGGCTCCCGGCGCCTCTCCCCGGCGGCCGCGCCGCCGCGCGGCCGCAGTGCACCACAGACCGGGCGGCGTGGCCGAACGTCCCTCGGCTCCCGAGCACTCCCTCGGCGAGAGGGAGGGAGAGGGAGAGAGACACCAGCACCCTTCGGGGATGCACTGCGTACGGCAGGTTCGTGACGTGACAAGCCCAGCATTGGCTCCGGAACACCACGGGGATCGTTCAACCTTGAACGATCGGCTGGAGGGATGAGGATCGGAGGAGAGGGGGGGAGGAGGATCGGGCAGGGGCGAGGGGGGGGGGGAAGAGGGGGAGCAGGCCCGATAATTATGGGGGAGGAGGTGCCGCGAACCCAAGAGCGTGCCGCCGACTGGGGGAGGGGGGAGAAGAGGAGGAGCAGGAGGGAGAACAGGAGGAGAAGGGACAAGAGGCGGAGCAGCGGGGAGGAGGAGAGGGATAAGAAGGGAGGCGGGAGGGGAAAGCTGACGGTCCTGCTCGCGCTTCTCGCGCGCCGCCTTCAGATCGCGCAGATCCTTCATCTCCTCCGGGCGGGCACAGCGCGGGGAGGAGAAACCAACGAGGGGGGGCCCTGCCGAGGTCGTCTCGCCGCCTGGGGGGGGGGGGAGGCCCACCCGCTCCGCAAACCCCAGGCAGCGAGCGCAGGTCGCAAGCAGATCGGGCGCAGGCTCCGCACCGAAAAGCCGCGAGGGGGGGGGGGGGGCCCGAGGCCGATCACCCGGAGCGCCGTCGGCCTCCTCGTCATCGCCGCCGGCTTCGGGCGCCTCCAGGTCCAGGAGGCAGCGGGGGAGGGCCCCGCAGGCATGTCGCAACGGCGCGGTGCCTTTTCTTCTTGCCTCGCCGTCGCTCTGCCGGGTCGGGCCGGCGGGCATATCGAGGGCTCTCGGGCACAGCCCCCGTGCGCCTCGGCACGTCGCGCAGGGCGCCGGCGGTGGCCAGCGGAACTCGCAGCGTCGGCGCCTGCTCTCCTGTCGGGCACAGGCTGCGGGACCCGACCGTGGACCGCGCAGGCGCCGACGAAACGGGCGGGAGGCAGGATCCCGGTCGAGCGCGCGCACGTCCAGGCTCCCTTCACGAGCGCGAGCTGCGGCTGCGCCGCGGCCCTCGGCTCGATCTTCAAGGATGCGGATGCACAGAGGGTGAGGGGTTGCTCGTGGCAGGTGGGGGGACGAGGAGCCGCGGTGCGAGCGGAACGAGGCACATTAGAGCTGTGCGCGATCTCAAGAGATGATCGTCCTAAGCCTACCCGAGCTCACAGGTCCGCCTGCTTCAGCATCGTCAAGAAGCTGGCGGGGTGGCTGGAGCGCGTAGGGTCCCCCCACCCCGGCACCGACCTCGATCCTATACCCTGGCCCGAACGCATCGTTATTCGTGGACATCAACGACGGGATAGGTGAGGATTGGAAGGATGGATCATGGAGGAGGGTGGTCACCTCGGCGGTAGAAACCCCGACGCAGGAGAAATTCCAGGGAGGAGCGGGACAGTCCTTTCGGAAGGCCCTCGGACAGTATCGCCCTAGATGCTGCCAGCGCACGGCTCACGGTTGGGAACACGTGCTTCGGTTACGTTAGGGCTAGCAGACTGGATTACAGATGCCTATCAGAAGGCTTCCAGGACGCCACTGTCAAAGGCAACGCTATGCGTGGCCCCGGTGCCAAACCTCAACCAATTCGGGGACCGCCGCGACATGACTGAAGGGGCCCTGGGACACACAAATAAATGCACACAATAAAAAGATGCCCCATATCTTCCCATATTTTCTGGGTGCTTGTCTTCCCCCCCACTCCCCCTATTTTCCCATATCTTCTGGGGAACCGACGATTACTTGTGTCTGTGTGTTTTTTTCCCTACTGAATGACCACTTACCGGTGTGTGTGTGTGTGTGTGTGTCTCATGACACGGCGCGATGCAGGAGGTCGGCTTCGTGAGGCGGCTCCTCGTGTCAGGCGGGATGTGGATCGCACGACGGAGAGCTGTTAGGACTGGCACCGGGAGGTCGCACGGCACACAATGAGTTGAGCAAGCTGGATATTCATTATATGTTTGATTGGGCCTCCCCAGACACGATGCTCGAATCGATCGAAGAGGCAGGTATTCGAGCGGGCAGGGTACAACCTGAGGGAAGCAAAAGATCAGGGAGGGCTATCGCCGAATCCCTGGAGCCTCATGATAGAATGAAAGGGTTAACATTTCAAACCGCTTACGGCTGCCCTGCATCTGGTCGGCCTGAAAAATGGCGCACTCGCTCGCAGACCAGCGTATCGCCGTCGTCGTCGCGTACTTCGAGGCGCGTCGGCGCCGTCGCATCGTTTACACGCAAGGAAACCATCGGCGCTTTCAAATTCCTTTGTGGATTTGTAAACCGCTTACGGTTGCCCTGCATCTGGTCGGTCTGGCAAAAGGCGCACTCGCTCGCCGACCTGTATATCGCAATCGTCGTCGCGCACTTCGAGGCGCGTCGGCGTCGTCGCATCGTACATATGCAGGGCAACCGTAAACGTTTGACATTCCACTGTGGAATTTCAAACCGTTCATGCCCGAGGACTTAAAGACGGGCGAATCACTTCCGAGTGACACGTGAGCAATGCACTGTGCAAGGCAACCATAAGCGGCTTGAAATTCCACTGTGGTATTTCAAACCGCTTATGGTTGCCCTGCATCGGGTCGGTCTTGAAAGTGGCGCACTGGCTCGCCGACCGATGTATTGCCGTCGTCGTCGCACATTTTGAGGCACGTCGGCGTCACCGCATCGTTTGTATAGATCGATTCGCAATGCCCGAGGAATGAGAGGTGCGCGAATCGTTTCCGGGTGACATGTGCGCGGCGCACTGTACAGGGCAACCATAAGCGACTTGAGGGTTTCAAGCCGCTTATGGTTGCCCTGCATCTGGTCGGTCTGGAAAGTGGCGCACTCGTTCGCCGACCGAATTATCGCCGTCGTCGTCGCCCACTTTGAGGCGCGTCGGTGTCGTCGCATTGTTGATATGCAGGGCAACCATAAGCTGTTTGACATTCCACTGTGGAATTTCAGGCCGCTTATGGTTGCCCTGCATCTGGTCGGTCTGGAAAAAAAGGCGCACTCGCTCGCCGACCTGTGTATCGTAATCGTCATCGCGCACTTCGACGCGCGTCGGCGTCGTCGCAACGTCTTCATGCAGGGCAACCATCAGCGTTTTGAAATCCCACTGTGGAATTTCAAGAAGCCGCTCATGGTTGCCCTGCACCTGGTCGGTCTAGAAAGTGGCGCACTCGCTTGCCGACCTGTGTGTCGCAGTCGTCGTCGCGCACTTCGAGGCGCGTCGGCGTCGTCACATCGTTTATATGCAAGGCAACCGTAAGCGGTTTGGTATGTCACTTCGCCGCTGCGAGAGTTCGGCCAAAATGCAGCGCTTCCCGTTAGGCGACGGGGCCCCAGCACAGCGTTGTCAGCGCCCGCTGCAAGAAAAGAAACGTCAAAGGGGCCCGTTAGGCCGCGGGGCCCCAGTACAATCAATGTTCTGTTCAAACATTGTTTTGCTCAAGTCTCGGGCGGAACCGACCTGAATTCGAACCCGATGGTTTCGAAATCCCGTGGAGATCCTTTTTTGCCAGAGGAAGTTGCAAGCGAAACACACACTTTCGAAATCTCGGGTCAGAAATTTAGAATTGGAAATGCCAAGCGGCGTGGCCATTTCGAAACAATGATTTCGCTTGAGACTTGCTCAGGAAACCATGTCGAACGATTTCGAAACTGCCGGTTTCGATTTCGAAATGGCGCTCCCGCCCAAAACTTCCCCCGAACTAGAATTCGTCACTTTTCTTGTTCGATTTCGGTATGGCGCTCCAGTCCAGGACTTCTTCCGACACAAAGTTCGGAGCCTTTCGGCTTCGATTTCGAAATGGCGCTCCCGCCCAAAACTTCCTCCAAACTAGTCTTCGACAATTTTCGCGTTCGATTTCGACATGGCGCTCCAGTCCAGGACTTCTTACGAAACAGAATTCGGAGCCTTTCGGCTTCGACTTCGAAATGACGCTCCCGCTCAGGACTTCCTGCAAACTTGCGTTCGACACTCTTCTGGTGCGATTTCGAAATGGCGCTCCCGCCCAGGACCTCTTCGAAAATAGAGGTCGGCACTTCTTCACCTCGAATTCGCAGTGGCTCTCCCGCCTAAGACTTGTTTTGGTGGAGCAGCGAAACAGGTCAAAACTTTCGCAGCCCCGATGTATTGAATTTCGCCGCGATGCTGGTCACATTCGCTCTGTTCTGGGAGGTTGCGTCTGCCAGCTGTGGCAATTCGAGGAATTCGCCTTCTGCTGCGTGCAGGTGCCCATCTTTGTCGTCACGCTGCTCCGCGAGCCCATGGCACGCGCGTTGTCCAACAGCGGTGCGTTGGCGTTGTCATGGTGCCCCACTCTGCTCCGCTCCACTCCACTGCTCCCCCCTCCTCCTTCCCTCCCTTGTTCGATCCTCTTCCCTTCCTGCCTCGACCCTTAGCGACACTCCTTCCCTCGGGTGCGTCAATGTTGAAGGGGCCCTGGGACACATAAATAAATACACACAAATAAACCGATTCCCCCGATTTTCCCATATTTTCGGGGTTTCTGTCTTCCCCTCCACTTCCCATATTTTCCCATATTTTCTAATATTTTACAATATTTTCTGGGTTTCTGTCTTTCCCCCCACTTCCCATAGTTTCCCATGTTTTCTGGGGAATGGACGATTAATTGTGTCTGTGTGTTCTTGTTCCCCTCCGGAAGTGTGGGGGACTGGGAAAAGGAAGGGGGTCGGCGCACCGTGGCCCGATATGTACGTGCGCGCGGGCGACGGGGGGGGGAGGGGACGTGCCCAAAAAGAAACAGGCGTGACACCTGGGAGATATACGGCAGAAGAAAAGAATTCGTGAACACCCCCCTGCCCCCCAAATCCTCCTCCTCCTCCTCCTCCTCCTCATCCCCCTCCTCCTCCTCCTCCTCCTCCTCCTCCTCCTCCTCCTCCTCCTCGTCCTCCCACTCCTAGCCCTTTCGATCAGGGTCGGCGGCACCGGCCGTCAGGCCTCTCCAGTTAGTGAACAGCCCCCCTGCCCCCCGAACTCAAAGCTGGCACGCGGGGGGGAGACTGCGGTGGAGGTGCCACTCAGCAGACCCACCGCCAACTTGGAACATTGGGGGGAGGGGGAGGCGTTCACAGATGAATGTGGCATGAGTATTCGCTATGCTTTTCCGAGGCCTGTATCGTGGCCCCGGCCATAGTATCAACACACCCCTGGTCATCACCCTCCTCTTCGACGCCCCCTATTGTCGTCCTTCTCCCCTGGATGCCTCCGATTATCTAGAGACCTACCACTTGGTTCGAAGTAGACGGCGTCGGTGGATCGTGCCGCATCGCCAATGCATCGCCGATGCCTGTGCGCCATTGGCGTGGACAAATCGGCCCCCTCATAGAGCCGCATCCCCGATGCATTGGCGATGCGGCACGATCCGCCGACCCCAGCTGCTTCGACCCCGTGTGGGCGGCCTGGACTACTCCCCTCCTTCATCCTTCCTCCTCCTCCTCCCTCTTCCCCCCTCCCCCTCTCGCTCTCCTTCCTCCTCCCTCCTCTTCTCTCCTCCCTCTCTCCTCCTCCCTTTTCCTCCCCCGCGCGCTCTCCTGCAAGGTCTGGTCGCCGTAAGCCAGGCCCTTCCCCCGGCCGCTTGCAGTGGAATCGCAGCTCCGCCGTCGGCTGGTAGCACTCTTGGGACTCTTGGCGCCGTCGTCGCTGCTCCCTCGGCGGTTCTTGCGGGCCGAGGGCTCCTCGGGGGCCCAGGCCAGCCCAGGGGGGCTGATCCTCCATGGGCCCCCTGGATCAGGGATCGACCTAAACAGTGTTTCTCGTTTTCGCTATGTTTTCGGGTTCCTTCGTGTTGTGCGCAATCCACCTTTACCGCAAAACGAAATCGAAACGAAAACGGCCCACGAAATCGCCGAAACATAATTTAAGTCGACCCCTGCCCTGGGTGTAAGAAAGGGGCCGACCGCAGAAACTGGAAGACATGGTCCCAAATTTCCTTCGATTGGATTGTTCAATCCGCGCGATTTCTTTCGACTTCGGCCTCCAAAGGCCTCTGCCGGGACACGGGGCAATCAAAAACGAACCCGGGACGAAAACCTATACCTGGGGAGACGGTCGCTCTCTGGGGCCGCGGATTGAAAACATCAGATCGGCGAGTGGCAAGGTTTTTTGTTTGTCATATATTCCACATCATCTGCATAACAGCTCAACCGATGTGAGTCATTCTCTCGATCTTCGCCTTGCTCAGGGGATCTCTTCGCGGAGAACCTTGCGCATGATGCCGCTCCTCGTGGCGATGGGCGACATGGCGGCGGCGCGAGCGGAACAAACGCTTCCTTTCTGTCCGACGGCCCTGGCGCACCGCGCCGCTCCGAAGCCTGTCGCGCCCGCCGCCCCCTTCGACGTTCAAAAGTTCCTGAGCCGAGCGCCCGCGACGGGGGGCGGACGGCTGATCATGTGACACGGGCCAGGGTGAATGTCATCGGCCCCCTCCCCCCACGTCGGGCCCCGGGGCGGCCGGGCCCTCGCGCGCCGCCCGCCGGCGCGCCGCGCCCCGGGGCCTCGGCGCCAAGGAACAGATGTTACAGCGCGCACCTTCCGCGCCGCGCCTGCTCCCGGCGCAAGAGGCGCGACCCCGGGTGCTCGACGGGCCCTCCATTTGTTCGACAGACAGGCCCGCGAGGCGCCCCAGCGCTGGTCGCCCAGTCGCACAGGTGTCGTCGCGGCTCGCGACGACCTCGGCCCCTTCGTTCTCCGGCCGCCGCCGCGCTCGTCTCTCCTGCCACATTTCTTTTCGGAGCCGCAGTTCCACGAAGGCCTGCCGCGCCCGCCCCGTTGGGTCAGATCCTTATGCGTTTTGCATAGGATCCCGGGGGGTCTTTAACCCCGGGGGGGAGGATTGTAGAACATTTCTTAAGAACGGAGAATCTACGTGGTGCAATTAATTTCTGTTCGCAGTGAGTTGCCCCCCGCGTTCCAGACTCGTCGCCCCATGTATCTTCGCGCCAGCCGCTCCGCGAGCTCCAGGCGCCGCCGCCAGCTGCCAGCTTCGCGGCGCGTGTTATGTCCGCTCGAAGGCCAGTCGCCATCGCTGGCGCTGCCGGTTCCATCGTCTCTACTGCGCCATTTCTGTTCGCCCTTCTCGCGAGTCTTGCGTTTATCGTTCTCCCAGCGACCGCCGGACCTTTCATCTCTGGCCTCGTCGCGCCCCTGTCCCTTAGGCATGGCCGCTTGGGCGCTAGCGGAGGCCTCGTTTTTCCAGCTGCCCGCGCGATCTTTTTGGGCGCTCGTCTCCGCGGGGGGCCACGCGGCGGCAGTCGGGGCCCGCCAGCCGCGGGCGCGGCCCATTTTCCCAGAAGAATCCCTCGATGAGCCAGCCTCGCTAAGGAACCGCTCTCCGCCGAGGATGTCGAGAGCTCGCCTCGTGTCTATCGCGGTGAAATGGGCCGATGCCCTGCGGTTCCTCCCAGCAAGGGTGAAGAGCGAAGACCTGTCAGCGATGCCTTTTCCAGGGCGCATTCGCTGGCCCGCCATTCGTCGCGCAGCTCCTGCGCTTCAGCTGCGACGTAGCCGCGGAGCACCAGGCCTATCTGCCGATCATTGCACAGTGCGACAAGATCGGCACGCAGAACCGACATCCTCACGATCGCGCTCACAATCCCCCGCGCAAGCCGCCCTCTTGTTATCGGCGGGGGCCCGAGGCTCGTCACTCGTGTTATTCGCCCGAACGCGTTCCGACTCATCTACGATCATCTGCTAAAGCGCCCCTGAGTCTTTGTCCGCGTCGGACAGGTGCCATGGCGCCGCGCTGTCGGCGAGGGACTGGCGGGCACTTTTCCCCGCCCCAGTTGGGCTCTCTGCCGATGCCAGCGCTTCGGTGATGAACGTCGCGTCTGCGGGGAATTCCCTTTCTCTCCCAAGCGCGGACGGCCCCGGACTCCCGGTCGGGCCACGGGTCGTCTGACGTGAGCAAGACGCACTCTTCCACAGTCTGCGATCCACGTTGAACTTTTCAGTTCGACACGATTGTGCACAGTTTTCCCTGCCTCGAGCACCGTCTTTTCTATGTTGTTCTTCTGGGTGCGCACCCCTCCAAAAGCGATGGCTTCTTCTCTACCCTGCTGAAGACACTAAGTTCTGGCGCTGGATTAGCTTCGCGTCGTCGGCCAACTTGAACATCCGGTCGAACATCAAACCCACTTTCTCTTCGAGAGCCCACGCATTCCAATCCTTGCCCGCAGATGCAGCAACCTCCGCCCTATCTGGATCAGTGAAGTTCCAATCGAAGACTCACAGGGAACCGACATCAGGGCAATGCGGACTCGCGTCGACCAAGGAGCAAAGCTCCGGGAACCACGAAATCATATCTATCTCGCCTTCAGCGCCAGGCGGCGTAGCTCGGGCGCAGTTCTGAAACCCTTCTACCAGTCTGCGAAATGTCCTCATAATCGGCGAAGAGCGATTCACAAGTTGACTCTGCTCCAAGTTCAGGACCCGCGCCAGGCACGAAGCAGCGGCAATATCATCATTGCCTCGTCCTCGCGGGGAACGCGCGCAGCGTGATCCAAGCGGAGCGGTCCACATGCTGGCGGTCTGTCGCCCGACTTTGCAGTCTTTTCGCTCTCGCGAGACATGCATTGCCCCCTCCGCCTGTTGTTTTTTTTTGTTGTTGTCTTCTCTCTCTCTCTCTCTCTCTCTCTCTCTCTCTCTCTCTCTCTCTCTCCTTCTTTATATGTTGTTATCTATTTCTCTATGTATTTCTCTCTCTCTTTCTCTTTTGTTTTCTTGTTTTTTTTTTCTGTCTCTCTCTCTCTCTTTTCTCTCTCTCTCTCTCTCTCTCTCTCTATCTCTCTCTCCCCCCCTCTCTCTCTATATATCTCTCTCTCTTTCTCTCTCTCTCTCTCTCTCTCTCTCTCTCTCTCTCTCCCTCTCTGTCTTCCTCTTTCTCTTTATTTGTTTATCTCTCTCTCTTTCTCTCTATATATATATATCCCTTTCTCTCTTCTTCATGTATGTATTATGTTTTTTTCTAATAAAACATATATATCTCTCACTCCATGCATCATTGTGTATGTATCTATGTTGTTGCTGTTGGTTGTTGTTATCATGTCTTGTTGGCTATCACTCCCTCTCTCTCTCTCTCTCCGCTGCTTCTTCTGAGCGAGGCCTTCCGAGCTGGCCGCGTCGGCCACGGTCGCATCTGAGTCGGCCGCCCAAGCCGTCCGTCGACCCAGTCCCAGGCGGCGGGGCGGCGCTGGCCTTTGCCAGCCCGAAATGGCGCCGCGCGGTTGCGATCTGGCTCCGCGGGGCGAGATGGCGCGCGGCGATCTTCCAGCCGAGCGGGCGCGCGAGGGCCCCGGGCCGCAGCCGGCGGCAACGGCGCCAGGGCCCCGCCAAACCGGACACGCTCGACCCGGACACCCAACATCCCTAGAAACATATTTTTCCAGACGGCGGCACGAACAAAATACTGCCCTGCATCATGTCCAGACTAAGCCCGGACACAAGCCCCCAGAACCTGCGAGGCCCCCGAAACCCGGGCACAAAACCGAATCCTGCAGCGCAGCAAACAAAAAATGCACGGGTGCTGGAAAACGTGGCTTTGCAGACAAGGGTGACTTTTCCGTGGTTTTCCGCGCCCAGGTCCATCTGCGCCCCGGCCCCTGGGGGTCTGGCAGCAACGCGCAATGGCTCGTTTCTGCACGGAACCTTTCTTAACTGCCTCTGCCGCTCGTCCGAGATATGGCAGTCTTGGCCTCATATTCTCACGATGTTATGCCACTCTTCGAGAACGGCGGCACAGCGCGAGTTCGCAATAGGAACCGAGTGGAACTTCACGGAGTTGCGATCGCTCGCGCTCGACCATATCACTGTGGCACTTTCGAAGAAGGCCCCATATGCTGCAGACGCCTCCTGGCTGGGAGCTCCCCGCCAAGCCCCGGCGACGAGTCGCAATGCCCGCGTGCTATCAAATCGAGAACCGCCAGGATCTCCGCGCCCTCACTCTTGGGCCCCGACAAGTTCAGCAGTTCCACGTGATCGAATGAAAGGAGGCGGCACCTCGAAAAAAACTCGAGCCACCGCCCGCCCCAATCATCGCAATCATCGGCGGGGGCAGGGGCGCCGCCGGAGAAATCCCCCCCAGCGGCGATCGCATCGGAAATGCGTTCGGCCGGGGCGATGGGGGGACCTCGTGGCCGCGACCGGGAACCCACCGTTTGCGGAGCTGCGCGTCTCGGTATTCAGCCTTGGCTACCAACGCAAACGCAAGGCCGCGCGACGCCTTCACCCCCCTCCCATGCGGCGGGGGGATCCGCCCCGCCTCAACGCAGGCGACAATATGTCCGCGATTTGCACGGATCAAACACGGAATGGAACTTTTCACCGCCAGGCAAGCCCTCCATCCTTCATCGCCTTTGTCCGCTGTGATGTCGAATTCCGCAGCGATCTGCAATTATCCAAGGGCCGCGCTGGCCTGGCAGAGAACGCGCATGTTCATGACGCCGAGGTTGTGAGCCCCGTCTCGCTTCATCTGGCTCGCGAAATCAAACAGCTGGTCCAGCCCCCCGATTTGGGATGGGCCGCAACCCCCAAGATCCTACAGATCGCGTCGCTTGCCACAGACACACCTACATCGCCCATATCCTTCAGAGTGAGGCGGTCTCTGGGACAGATAAAGATATTCCTGGATGGTTCGGGATCGCAAGCAATATTGCGGTGGTCGCGCGCTATTTCAGCG